TCTTTTCTCTAGTTTTCTGTACAATCTAAACGGGAAAAATCTTTTATTTTCATCCCATTTTCTTTCCTTTCCCTCGCTATCATCCCTATCCAAACAGAGGGTAAGGGAGCCAGTCAACTCTGTACGTAATTGATATTCCATGTCAGATATCAATCTGTGTCTGCTGATGTATATGCTTTCTTTTTTGTGTCTCTCCTCTTTTGTTTTCTTTTTTTTTTTTTAATGCCTATTTCTCGCATTCTAGCTGCCAGGTCCTAATTAATTGCCAAAGGACAGCAACAAATGGATATATTTGACAGAAAAACGGAGGTTTTAAGTTGCATGTGAAGACTGGCGTTGATGACACTAGTTAAGTTTTTTTTTATATATAATTATAGTTGTTAATATTATAAATAAAGATTATATTTTTTATATTTATAAATTATTATTTGATAAAATTTTACTAAAAAATCTTAAAATAATAATAAAATAAACATAATTACTGAATTATATAAATTTTTTTGTTGTGTGATTATTTTTTTTATCTTTCTATTCTATCTTTTCTATCCTAAGAGGAGGAAGAGAGAAAGAGGGAGGGTGGAAGGAGGGAATCGAGAGACGAATTAATTTTATTCATTTTTATTTTTTGACCATTTTGAAAGGAGGGAAAAAGGTTAAAGCTACCAATAATTTCAAACATGGCAGATGTCTTGGTGGGGCCGTGTGGGAACAAAGATACCACCTTAAAACATGTCGGCTGCCGATGACCTTTTCCATTAAGTAACAAAAACAGGACTACAATTCCAATTCTAACCCCAGCCCATTTCCTCCAAGATGGGCTCTTTAACTTTGTTATAGGAAAAAAAATATGTTAATAGTCAGATACCTAACATGGATCCCCAGATGCTATCCACGTGACACGCTCGTGCACATTCCAAATTAATCTTCCAGCCAGGTCCGATTCTTCTTGTCGGAGCTGCAACATTCTTTTCTTCAAGTCAACCACAGGTGGTCAAATTATTAAGCCATGGAGAGGGAGAGACAAATCTTGGTGTATGCACCACCACCATGAGCATGCCGTATAAAATAGATAAATTGTGGCTTAGCTTACTGCAATTTATAACATTGCAGAACCAATTGGATCCACCAAGTGGAAAAAAATGGTGCCTTTATAGTATGCAGTCAAAAGTCATCCAATCTGAGGAGGAGGAGGAGGAGGAGGCAGGTGTAAGAAGCAGCTGTAAGTATCCTAGGACTTTGTCCCACCCAAGTTTTTGCGGTTTTTTGTCGGTAGACGTGCTTGTGGTTCACTGTTTGAGTGACAATGAACCCAATGGTTCAAAACAATACATTTGGGTTCTTGACGTTTGAATTTTAGAACCTCCATCTAATTTTGTAATCAATTTCCATTAAAGTAAACGGTCAATGGTTAGTGGTCAAACTTTAAACTAAATTCAGCCAATCAACTTGTGCCACATGTCCATTTTAGGCTGCTATAACACTACTGCTAACGGAAATTTCCAGTAGGAGGAGTAACTAACTTTGTCATATATAAATCCAAAATCTTAAAGATCCATGAGCAGAATTTGCCCTAACAAGTAAAGCTTCTAGGTCGCCACATTCTAATTACTAAGTCAATAGAAATTGCTGTTAGGATCAAAATGATAGATTCTACAATTATTTAATAAATTTTGTGCGTCTAATATTTCTCATTTGATTCAATAATAGTAATTCAAAACACAAAACGCAAAATCGATAAGATAATAAAGTAAAAATACCGAACAAAGGTATGAACGGTTATCCACTCTATCTACTTCAATAATATCTATTTAAAACATTCAATAAATATTAAGGTAAATATGAGTAAAAAAGATATATACTCTTTAACATAGTTTTTATATATGAATATTTACTATATATCTTGTTAATGCCAACAATTTTTTTTCTTAAAAAAAAGAAAAGAAAATTAAGATAATATAATAACTAAAATGTTTTTTATTTTCTTTTTTGAACGCTTTGAGGCTCCAAAAAATTCCAAACTGAGGACTTATTTGTAAAATCATATTTTTTAAAAAACCAAAATAACTTTTTCCAAAAATTACAAGTATCAAAATAAAAATATTTGACCAATTATTTTTCAATGGCATAAATAGGCATTAGGTGCGTGGGTAATGAGTATAGAAGAGTCTTCTTTGACACCGAGTTTAAAAGATAATTGTTTAACATATATTTCTTTAATAAATTAGATATGAAATTGATTTAATGGACCATTCATGGCCATTCCAAATGACTTTATACTTACATTTTTACGAATACATATACACTTTGTTTTTTAGATATTGTTAACTTCATTCATTAAATTATTATTCTTATCATTGTTTTTTCAAAAATTTATCAATACATCCTCCCCTAATATGTATTATATAATAATTATTGATAACTAGTGAAAAATGCATTAGTAATTGTACAAAAAACAAATGATAGAAATAATAATTTGGTTGATGAATTTAAAAATTTTCTTATTTTTTAAAACAATTCAATGGATTCATTAAAGTTGGGCATGGCCTTATATAATTCCCACCACAATTAGACAGATATTTCACAAAAGAATACATAATTTTAAAACCCAACATCCAAACAGGCTAAAAATAATCAAACACTTAACCCTAAATCCAAGCAAGAGCAAGATATGGAAGGAGACAAAACACAAATCAGCTCCTCTAGTTTATCAATTTATCAATTTCTGTCCTATATTTTAAATTTGATCGATTGAATCCAATAATATTGCGGGTCAATTTACTCCAATTAATTTGTTGATAGAACTATCAGTTACAATAGTTTTGCTCTCTTTTCCCACTATTTTTTTCCAATGTGGGCTTGGTGAAATCTGGAACAGTGTACTTGTTCGTTTAGTAATTCAGTGTATTTTATGGACTAAGTCCTTCTACCATGATCCTTGCAAGAACATAAAAAACTCTCCGAAAACAAAAAGAAATCCACTCTCTCACACACACATATATTTCTGATATTCAGACTCCTTTTAATATTTAGAAATCCAATTCACCTTTTTCTTTTGAAACAAAATTTAAAATTTTTAAAATTTGATTTTTAAAACAAATATGAATAGTGATAAAATTTTTTTCATCAATTAAATGATAATAAAAATTATAAAATTTATTACGATGATAGTGTTAATAGTGAAAGAAGAGGTGATGGTAATGATAGTTATATAATAATAGCAATAATACATTTTAAAAAAACTGATGCCCCAAGATTAAGAGGTGATGGTGAAAAAAATATAGTAAAAATGATGTTAGCATAATAATAATAAAAAAATAGTAATGAAACAGTAGTTGTAAAATAATAATAATTTTTTCTATCACAATAGCCCATGTACACTTGTTTGACCCAACTAAAGCAGCCCACGGAGACTATCCTCTCGATTCAAAACATCTTATTTTCTAAGAGATGGCACATTTGCTGGGCCATCTACTGTTCCCCAGGACTCATACATGACATGTACATTTCACAGTTTACATGAGCATTGTTTTCCAATTTTGCCCTCATTTGTCTTTCTAATTTCCTTTCTCCCATTCATTCATTAAATGCTCCTGGTAATTGCAATTTTTTTGGGTTCTTTTCTTTCTCATCTCACGTGGAGAGAATCAGAGTGCGCAATGTACCAAAAAACAAGTAAATCTTTCGATTAAAATAGTTTTTTAACATAGAGCGATAATTTTAATCATAAGTCGGTTCCCAAATTCAAGTCATGTCAAATTACCCTTAGGCCATCGTTCTTCCACGCGTCACCACCATCCACACCACGTGCGGAGCATGAGCGACCACATAGTCCACGTGCACAACGGTGGATGGCTAAGAAGATATATGTCCATGCTTAGCTGGGCTTATCGTAGCAAACTCATTAGAGGACCACTAAGAAGCAAGTGGGTTTTCCCTTTGACATGAAAGTGGAAAGGCTCCATGAGACTATTGCAGCTTGGCAATTCAAGATCAACTTTCATTCAGCAATTCAAGATCAACTTTCATTCTGAATGAAAGTTGATCTTGAATTGCCAAGGTACTGCATTTTTTTTTTTGTCCAAAACTGACTTTTTGTGCCATCCTGCCTTTTAATTATTTTTTTCCCTCCCAGTAGCTAAGTGTTTGTTTGATTTTTTCCCTCTAGCTTTTAGTTAATTTTATTGACTATAATTATTCAGTAAAATTTTACAATTGATTAAAATTAGTCATCAATTATTGATTTAATTGTAAATGAAGAGTATTGAGAAAATAATATAATCATTTAAGTATAGTTTAGGTAGTGTTTGGGATAATGGTAAAAAAAATAGAGATAAATTATTGAAAGATTTATTATAAAAATAAATTTAAGATGTAAAAATGGTTTTTAAGAATATTTAATGTATTTATAAATAAAAAAATCAAATGTTAGTAGAAATAGAAAAAAATAATTTATAAGAAATAAATAAAAAATAATTTTAAATATTTTAAATAAAAAATTAATTTTAAATAAAAAAAATAGAGAAAAAAATTGTTAAAATATATTGAGAGAAAGATGATTAAAACGAGAGCGAGACAACTCGTAAGAGAGAGAAAAAATATTTTCCTCTTTTTAACTCGGAAAATACTTTCCAAAAAACAACTTATTAAATTCCGTTGATTTTTTTCTAAATGTAAAACAAATATTAAAACATGAGAGAAAATAAAAAAAACAAGTTTCTGGAATTTATTTTTTTCAAATCAAACACAACCTTAGAGGGAGTGGCTATTTAATAGTAAGTAATATAAAACAATTTTTATTTTTTATCCAAACAATTTAACTTTTTGAATTAAAATATTTTTTTAATGTTGCATGAAAGTCTTGATCATCAAACAGATTACTGAATTCAAATCATATTATTTTTATCTTTTAATTAAATTAAATTTCAACACAAATCTATAGCAAATTCAATCCCAGTTTCCTGTATAGGCTATCTACGACAACAACAAATAAACATAAAGATATGGCAGTAGCTGCATTAGAATATGACATAATTGAGAGTACCACAACCGGTCTATCATAACAGCAAATTAAGCGCGTACTTGGTAAAATCTTGTGTGTTTTTTTTTATGAAATAAATTTATGTTCTTTTTTTTTTAGTTTTTTTTTTTAATAATTTTATGTCAAAATTATCTAAAAAATAAGGGAAAAACAATTAAATATTTTTTCAATCCAATTGTATTTTTAAATTCAGCTTAAACTTCTTTGGTTTACTTAATGAGTGCTAAAACCAAGGACTACAAAACAATGAAACTGAGCCTGGTAAAACAAAACGAGAAAAAAAAAAAAAACATTGACATTAGTAATCCCTTAATCAACGATATACATAATAACGTACCATTTGTGGAAATACAAACAATTATTACTAGGGAAGAAAAATACAGGCTCTACAGTATTTTTTAGGGGATCTCTCGTCATGAAGGTTTTATCTTCAAACAGTAGAAAGGTAATGTCCGTATTTTAGAAATCCGAGGATATCCATCTATTAAATTAAAGGGGAAAAAAAAAACAAAAACAGAAAACTTTGTGAAATTTTTATTTTTATTTTTTTCCTTTCCGAGGATCATACCGAACTGAATTTCTGTAACCATGGAACAAAATATCCCCATTTTCTAATAGCTTTATCTAAAAAATAATAATAATAAATAAAAAATAAAGAATAAACTCTTCATACATATCGTATTTTCCATCACAAGCATTTTAGTCCAAGATTCAGTATTACCCTGTTTCTTCATGAGCCATACCTTCATGTACAAAGACAATACAAGGAAATTACTTTATTAAATAACGAACAAATATATATATATATATATATATATATATATAATGGCACCAACTGATCGTATTTTACTATTCTATTTTGATTTTAAAGTATTCTTCCAAATTCAAACTAAGTCAGGGCTGCTCTCTGCAAATAGAGAAGTCCGACTTTATAGATTATAGTAGTTTATGTACTGCAAATTGCTGTTGATTGGGAAATACTTTCTTAAAATCATTTAGAATGCAATTTAATTTTGATTAACGTATGAGGTGGTTCAAAAATATTTTTATTAACGAATAAAAAAAACCATTGCAAATTACTATTTACCCATTATTGTTTTCTTTCTTTCTTTTTGAAATATATATATATATATATATATATATCCATCGTTCATGTGTTTGCCGTGATTGGTTTTGCTCCGGCATTATTTTAGTTATAAGCACAAAAGTAATATCCATTTATGACAAAATGTATACATACATATGTAGTTATGATAATAAAATTAAATATTTCTGAACAATTTTTTTTATATGTAACTGAATTTTCTATTAAAATTATTTTACAATAATTGTATTTAGTTATATAATATTTTTACTCTATTATGCACAAATTATTTATTATTTATGATTTATATTAAATCTTAAATGCATTTTAACCAATTAGGTGGAACAATCAAGCTTCCTCGTACCCCAACTTAATTCTATTTTATTCTAGTTTATCACTGAAATTTATAATTCAATGATACATAAGTAAAATCTTTTCGAATTAATAATGGGTAAATCTATCCGCCCACCACTTCGTCCCCCTTTCAAGACTACGGCAGGGAACGGCACCATATATATATATATATATATTATGGTTTCAAGATATGAATAACTATTTTTTTTAGTTCATTAATATTTATTAATTCATTTTAATTTTTTATTAATATAAAAGAATCTAATTATATAAAATTTTAAAAAACTTAAAAGATAAAAAAAAACTTAAAAATAAATAATTAAAATGTAAAAAAAATTAAATTTTAAGGATAAACATTTTTTGATTTGACAACGAAACTGAGACTGGTAAAACAAAACGAAAAGAATAAATAAATAAATAAACATTGACAGTAGGTCCCTTAATCAACGATTTTGTTTTGACATTTGGTTACCTACCAATCCCTGTGAAAACAACGAAAAAAAACAAAAGCAGAGATACTGGCACTGGCATATTTGACTATATCAACTATGAACCTTTTTGAGTATTTTTTTTTAGTATATCAATTTGTAAAAATTTCATCAAGTATTTCGATCTAAATTAACATCATTTGATGAGTTAGCAGTTTTTGGCCTCATTTTTTTTGTTATGCATTGTCACTGTCGTTTGTCTGTTATAATTTCATTTAAATTAACTGTCAAGTCATCAAATGATGATAATTTGAGCCGAAATATTTGATTGAAAAATTCTTAAAAGTTGATGCTAAAACGAAAAAAATTTAAAAATATCACAGTTGATACTATCACAGTTGATACAGTTCAAATGACGTTCCCGTTCACTAGAACCATCCTTTCCGCAAACTATATATGCACTGCATGCTCGACCATCTTGTACAAACTAGAGATGGAGGTGCTTATAGGTAATAAGCCGTTAACCCCCACAGATATAAGACACCGATTGGCATATCCTACCCAAAAACTTGATTCTATTCCAATACCCTTAGGCCAAAATGTTGTAGGGTTTGCAGTGAGAGATGCTACTGGCAGAGTTTGGAATTTTGAGCTTTCTGTTCGGGCTCGTGGTCGGCATCCAAAACCTGTCATTATAGGAGACTGGTTGTTGTTCGTGCGTGAGAAGGGTCTTGTAGTCGGAGACAGAATCTTTCTGACCAAGGAAGAAGATGGACAAAATGGAGTAACCTATAAAATTAGAGTTGAACCAAACACCGATCTCACTCTATAATTAAGTAAGTTTTGTGTTTTGGTGCATTTAATTCTTCAGTTGCTGCAAAACTATACTTTTTTTTGTTCCAAGTACAGAAACTTTTCCTTGTTCTTGTTTTAAGCTGGCTCTGTGGTTTTTAATTAAGCAAGTTTTTTTGTTCCAATTAATATGCGTGTGCTTGGTCATGTTTTATGCTTTCTTTGGCTTCCTTTGACAAATCTTTTGTAGCATTATTCTCTCTTCAAGTGATCTTATTTGCCTCTTGGAGCTATTAATGCAGCCCTTTCATGGTTTATCAGAATTAATATTCTCCTAATTCTGATTTTTGTTGAAGTTGTGCTTGGTATGGTCTTTAGAAGTTGCAAAACAGGAAAAAAAAAAAAAAAAAACTTTTACCAGTTCTGGTTTTTTCTTTCCTTTTTTTGTTTTGATCTCTGTCTCAACTTAGTTATTGTACCCCTGCTTGGATTTCTCACGTTAGCCTTTTCCTTTAGTTAACTATTTTGCATATTATATGTATTTTATTTTTTTTAATAATTTTTTATTTTTTATTTTATTATATATATATATATATATATATATATATATATATATATATATATATATATATATATATATATATTTGCAACAAGTGAGATGGATGGGAGTGCGATTTTGGGGTTTGTTTTAATTTGTGTTTGAAAAAAATCCTATTCTATTTTAAGTGACCCGTTGCTCTCTCTGGACCTAAGTTCATTTCTAGAATAAGAGTACCTGTGGGATCTCATAAGGAAATACCAGTTTTGCTTGATCTAAAATTTTTATGTTTTGCTTGGACTTTGAATGTTATAGTTGTTTGGGGTTAAAAAAAGTTTTTTTTTTGTGTCCTTCCTTTCTTATAGTTATAAAAAATTTATATTTTTTATTCGCCACTAAAGAAAAAAAGAGAGTTGATTTCTGAGAAAATTTCTGAGAAGAAAAATACAAGTAAAAAAAAAGTCTTTTTAAGGGATGGGTAGAAGGATCATGCCTTCGGCTACTTACTGTTTTAGCAAATCAATCACGTAAAAAAGAAAAAATTAGTGATTTGCAGCATTAGCTGTGTATTTTGTTTGATAACAACTATTGGTCTTTGCCCACTTTTATTATCAATTATCAGAAACTGAAATAGAATGTAAACTTTATGCATTTGATGAAGTTGTGCTGTTGGTATAGTCTTTTGAAGTTGCAAAACAGAAACTTTTCCTTGTTGAAAAAAAATAAGAACTTTCACCAGTTCTGGTTTTTGGTAAAGTTGTGCTTTGCATAATCTTTAGAAGTAAAACAGAAACTTTTCCTTGTTCTGGTTTTTGGCGCAGTTGTGCTTACTTTATCATTTTTCCATTTACTGAAAATCATTTTCCGTTGATAATATTCCTAAATACAAAAAAAATACTGGAAAAAAAACAAATTTCTCAAACTTGTTTTTTTTCAAACAAACACAGCCATGAGCAGAATTATTCAGCTACGCACCTGGCTATACATACGTTTTCTTTGGCTGTTGAATCTTTGAAAGGAGAAAACTGCATACGACAATATTAGGCCTAAACAATACTAGAAATATTAAGCTTTTTAAGTGGAGAGAAGCAAAGTGGCCAATGAACCTGGCAATCTAACTTTTTGGATTAAAATAGCTTTTTAATATTGAAAGATAATAGTAACATTTGTTTTCACATTGGCTTACATGGATCTTAGACACGCAATGGGAATAACATCCAACTATCTCTTTTAACTTTTATGCTATTTTTTAAATACTTATGTTGGAAGAAATTGGAAACGCTTTCATGCGTTAAGATTGAACAACGTAAAGCTGGTACGTAGACAAGACTTGTTTTTTGCTGCAGACATAAAACGGCGATTGGCATATCCTACCCAAAACCTTGAAGCTATTCCGATACCCTCAGGCCAAAATGCTGTAGGGTTTGCAGGGAGAGATGCCAATGGAAACGTTTGGAATTTTAAGCTTTCTGTTCGGGCTCGTGGTCGTCATCGGAAACCAGTCATTATAGGAGACTGGGTGTTGTACGTGCGTAAGAAGGGTCTTGCAGTCTGAGACAAAATCTTTCTGACCAAGGAAGAAGATGGACAGAATGGAGCAACCTATAAAATTAGAGTTGAACCAAACACCGATCTCACTCTATAATTTAGTAAGTTTTGTGTTTTGGTGCATTTAATTCTTCAGTTGTTGCAAAACTATACTTTTTTTTTGTTCCAAGGACAGAAACTTTTCCTTGTTCTTGTTTTAAGCCTGGCTCTGTTGTCGCAAAACTTCTCCTTGATTTCCAAACCATCGCCAAATGTTTAAGAATTTACGTGTATTTAGCTGAAAAATCCGTTAAAAACCCAAAATTTATCCAAATTAGCAAATTTTAGTTTTTTAATAACAATTTTTCAAACCTTCGCTAAAAAAGGTCGCTAATCCTCTATTTTTGTTGTAGTTCATGTTTCATGCTTTCTTTGGCTTCCTTTGCCAAATCTTTTGTAACATTTTCTCTTCAAGTGATCTTACTTGCCTCTTGAAGCTATTAATGCAGCCCTTCCATGGTTTATCAGAATTTAAAAAAAAAAAAAAAATTCTCCTAATTCTGATTTTGGTGAAGTTTTGCTTTTCAAAATTATTACCATCTTCACTAGCCCAGCACAACCGTTAATTCTCTTAAAGTGAGCCACTTAATTGATATTTCATGCCAGATATTAATCAGTGTCTGCTGAAGTTTTTTGCAATCTCTCTGAAAGCTGAACTAGTGCTTTACACTACGGGATGGTTCGAAGAGGCTCAAAGTTCTGTTATAATCAACATGATGCATGCCCGCTGGGGCCTTGGCGTTTGATGATCTGAATTTTATGTAGAATTTTAATATCTGACCAAATTAAATAAAATACAAAAACAGTGTGGTTCAATTCTTTGATAAGAATGTCCTTTCTTTTTTGTTTTTTTTTAATGCTTATTTCTTGCATTCTAGTTGCCAGGTCCTTATTTCTTTGATAAGTAATTGTACAAACGTTTTCACATTCCACTTTAATCTCATCAACGGAAGTGCAAACATTTTCTACCTGCCCTATTATGTAGATTTTTCAATGTTAAGGTTTGCATTTTTAAGCTTAAGTGGCTGGAATGGAACATGCTTTCAGCATATTAAAATGATCTGACACCAACAATGCCCCTATTTTAATACTCAGTTTATCATGAGATTACTGCAACTTATGTTAAGAAGCCTAAATTTTGAAAGTAAGTACCCCTGGTCTTTCATCTAAATTTTAATGACCCTCGAATTTGCAATTGAGATCAAGGCACAGCTATGATTGTACAAGAAACTTTGTAATGCATATAAGAGACTTCGTAATGAGCTTCTACAAGAAAGTTGTAATGAGCTTCTACAAGAAACAATTTCTTTGTAATACATAAAGAAATACGATAATCGAACTTTTAAGAATAGACCGTATAAAATTTGTCAAAAAAGAAAAAGGAAAAATTCAAGGATGAGAGAGGCAAACCGTACTCAATTAGAATTTCATATGGTACCTCAATTGGATTGCAATGTTATTGCACAATTTTTAACAGGGATTTACTGTTGAGTGAAAGGAAGAAATGAAAACACATAGAAGGAGTCCATTAACTAAAGTTGGAACAATCAGTAATATTACATTGCAGGTAAGCAATGGTGGACAGTCTTTGTTAATTCATTCGATTTCTTTTCATGGCCGAAATATTTCGTTCAAAAAAAAAAAAAAAAGAAGAAAAGGAAAATGAAATCCACTCCTTCCACCAAAAAAAATCTCAAGGACTTCTACTGAATAAAAGATTCGCTCCAGCTAGTTTACTAATGCTAAATAATTCTCTGTCCAGTTAAAACTCTCTATATGCCGTACAAAACAAAACTAATTTTGGGCTTTAAGGTCATTATATATATTGTTTTTTAATTAATATAGTTAAATAATAATAATAATAAAAAAAGGTTTACTTTTAATTACAGAAATACCATTGCAAACTGAACTCCTACACTACAAATAAGTAAGGAAAGAAAAGGAGGAAAACATAAAAGTAGCCTGCTTATAAAAGTCGACTACAAGACTGGTGATGCTGCTGCTTCAGTTAATTGATCGTGAGAAAGAATTTGATTGGTCTATTCCAACAACCTCACAAGTAAGTTTTTTGCTTTTGAATTTCCATTTTCGAGTCATGAAGCTCCATTTCTAAGTAAATTTGTTTGCTATTTGTGGGTTCTTGTCTGCTAGTCTATTTCTGCTTGAGAATAGTTGAGATTTCTTGTATGGGCAGATCTGAGCCATGAACATAGCTATGGCTTAGGGAATTGGGGATTTTGGGGTGTAGCTCAAAAGAATCCAGAGTTTGCTAATTAAATTGGGTATTTGTGCAAGTTTTTTGCTTTTGAATTTCTATTTTTGATTCTTGAAGCTCTGTCTGTAAGTGAATTTGTTATTTATTTATGGGTTCTTGTCTGATAGTCTGTTTCTGCTCGAGAATAGTTGAGATTTCTTGTATAGATACAAAGAAAAAGATGATATTGCTAAGTGAGAATTGATACGTCGCTAAACCTTTGTGGCCTATAAAAACTAGTTGAGATTTCCCTAAGTTACGGTTGATGAAATTTCTGGTACAGCGATAGGAATTCAGTTCATTAGTTGAGCTATCCAGAGATGAGAGGACAGAGAAGGAATTAGGATAATCAACAAGAACCACTCTGTCTCTTTCTTTACATTTTCATAAGTGGGTAAGTGGGATAAATTCTACGGATCCAAACAAACAAAACCAAACCCCAAAATAACAAATTAAATAAATCAAAAGCCTAAAAATGAAAATAAAACTTACCACCATAAGTTCGAGCGTGCTACGAATATAGTTTGCAACACGGATGGATGGTTTGAGGCGTAAAGGCGAGAATGGAAGGCAAGTAGAAGAATGTTGAACCTTCGTCAGCCGTCCGATTGTCGCCCTCTAGCTTTTTGTTGCATTTGATTGAAGAGCGAAAATATGTCATTCAATTGAGAGTTTTAAGAGAAGATTTGGGATGAAAATTTAGAAGAATGTTGAAATTAGGGATTTTAGAGTTTGTTGAGAGAGAGAGAACGGGTTTGTGTATGAAGAATTAAAAGAGTTTTTAAAAAGAATTTATTTTATTTAAAATTTTTTTATTTATTGAATACAATATCATTTTGGAGGGTAGTTATACTAAATAAAACCCTCATTAAGAATAAAAAATTGACAAAGTACTTAACTAGTATAATAAAAAAAGTCAGTGAACCAAAATGAGAAAGATCAAATCAATGTATTCGATTGAGATCAAAATGAAAAAAAAAATTAGTGTACTAACAAGAAGTTAAGATCAAAAAATACATTATCAAATAACAAAATAATTGACAGAAATTAAACAGAAGTGGTTGATTTAAAATTTTGAAAAATTCAGTATAATCAACGAAAAAAATTAAAATATACATACTTATTTGAGAAAAGTTGTAAAATTGATGTATTAATAATTTAATTATCTCATTTTGAATCTTTTGCATAAAAATCACTGGTTTTTTTTTTTTTCCTGCAATTTCATTATGTCCATGTTCTAAAATGAATATAAAAGGTACATAGAAATTTATTTTTTAAGTGTAAATTACAAATAAGTTCTATGCTAATTTTTTAAGATGAATAAGTTTACTTTTATATTTTATCTTCTAAAAAAGTTTAGATTTAATTGTGGTACCTATACTTTTTATATACTTACAAATTTATCAATCAAGTGCCTTTTTTTCTTTTCTATTTTTTAGTTTTCTTTAAAAAAAACTTTCATAATATTTTTTTTTGAATATCCAATTTCTCTCACTTGTAAAATAGTTTATAATTGTAATCTACTTTCTCTATATTACCATTATTATGAATCTTGAATATATTCAATTCAAATGATGACAATAAAATAGAAAACATAATTTTTCATATTTATAAATCTTGTTTTCTAAAATAAAAAGTTCGATTATCATCAGCATAACGAGGTGTCTTAAACCTTTTCTGAGAATTATAGCAATTAACAAGAATAAAATATTACGATAATAAATCTTCAATTAAAAAATCTAAAAACTTTTTTTAGAAAAAATCGTTAAAAAAGTTACAAAACTTCTTGTAAAGTATTTTCTAAGAAAACAATAAAACATTTTTCAAATGTATTTTAGGTATTTAACAAAGAAAGAATTTAAAGCTGCCTTAAGAGTAGCTTCCAGATAGTATCCAAAACAATAACAAAAAAAAATCGTCTGGTCTAGACACATATGTTCTGCATAAAACTGGCTAAGAATGGATTTAAAGCACCAAATACTTCATTTCAAATCGAAACAGTTGACAATTTTTCAACCGAATGTAAAGATAATGTAATAGTTTTAAGTAGTGACCCGTTCTATTAATCTAGTAATAATCTTAAAAAGTGATATATTTTCTGTATGCTGGAACCCTAATGTGCTCGCACGTGGTAGGATTTATATAATCTAGGCAAACACGAACAAAGCCATTGCATGAATTGAGAAAAACAAGTGAAGTTGCTGTAAGATTAAAAGGGTTGGAGTCTCCATGAAATTCCAGCCAAAATAGGTTTTTAGTTTTTGTAGAAAGAAAAATATCAGTGGCCGGTTCTCTTGTTGAAAGTTGAAGTATATCGTTAAAATCAGGATGCATAAGAATGAATTTTTGTCCAAATCAATATACTTTTAAATCTTTATTTTTTATCTAGGGTATTTTTAAATTTAATTTTCAAACAAAGGTATTTTTTTGCCACATGAGATTTTTTCATTCACATCATTTTTTTCTTAATTGTTGAAAAATAATTTCATTACATTAAATAACTTTATCTTTATTTTAGATATTTTATTAATTAAAAAACATAAAAATGCTAAGACATCTCTTCTTAAAAAAAAAAAAAAACTTTTATCTTTTTATGTTCAAGCGTTGCTGCCGGCCAAACTGTGGCTGACGTCTGCCCCCAAAACCTTTTTTTCTTTTTTTCATTTTCTTTGTTCCTCTAAATTTTTTATTTAAATCTAGTACTTTTTTTTTTT